ATGGAGTCATTTGGGAGTTTCATGGCAGGTAAGGTGGTGGTGAGTGTGCTACAGCCTTGAGCACATGACTGTCAAGAGACGGTGGGAAAATAAGTGTGTGTGCATGTGTGTGTGTGTGTGTGTGTGCGTGCATGTGTGTGCGTGCATGTGACGTACCTCCCAGGCTCGCGCGCGCTCACCAACCCCACACTCACACCTACATCATGAGCCAAGACTAAACTAAATGTTGAAGAGCACATTTCCAATATGCATTATTTTTACGAATCGACTATTTTAACATAATGTGTATGTAACATACGCTGCCAGCAATAGTTAACAAATTTAATTTGAAGCACATTTAATTGACTATTTCGAAAGATAACGTTATAGAAACAGAAATACACGAGCGAGTTACGTTTCTGGCTTCATATAAGAAAACATTTACACTGAAGAGTCACAGCACAGCGAACGATTTCGCCGCGACATCCCGCGGTCGCATCAGCAAATGTAAAAGCTTGGTAGTAATTGATTTCATAATCTATTTCTAAACCACATACTAGAAAGTGAAGAGACGACGACGTTTCGGTCCGTCCTGGACCATTCTCAAGTCGATTGTGTTGACATTCTCAAGTCGACGTCCCTTCACTTTCTAGTGTATAGTTTGGTCAACATATTTCAGCCACGTTATAGTGACTCCTCGTCTGCCTATCACTAAACTCAATCAGAACGATGGTGCTTAACTGCATAAAACTACGATGGTAAAACCCCAGGGAGAAATACGAAAAAAAATCGATGATAAACGCAAAGTAATCAAATTAAATCCAGCAGCAATAAAACAAATTGTCATGTTTTGTAATGTTATTTGCTGACATAATATTTGTAAGTGACTACTTACACTAACGAACGCTTTTCCCGGATTTTACCTCACTTGTTGCATCAATATGAAAAATAATATACAAGGATTGCCACAGTATATTTTTGTATTAGGTAAATATTCAACTCAATGATATTAGTGTTTATACTGGAAAAAAGGTTAAACTAAATTACGATCTAAGAAAAATACATATAACACATTATTATATTTATTTAGATAAATAACAGAATACAAAATATAGCAACAATTAAAATTCAAAAATATTGCCACAATTTTTTATATTGTTAAGAAAATTTTGAATAATTTACAGAACTAATTTAACTAAAATTAAGTAAAATAATTAAAAGTAACAAATTTAATTAAAGTATTTAATACAATGAAAGGTAACTAATATTATCCAAAGTAACTATTATAATTAAAAGTAACTAATATAATTCAAAAGAAATATAACTAATATAATTAAAAGTAACTAAAGTAACTAATATAATTAAAAGTAACTGAGGTAACTATATAATTAAAAAGTAACTAATATTATTATAACTAATGTAAATAACAGAACTAACATAATTAAACATAAAAGTCATATAATTATCAATAACTAATAATCATAAGTAACTAAAGTAATTAAAAGCAACAATATGATTATTGTTACTAATACTTAAAAGTAATATAAAACTGATGTGTAAAACAATGATGACAATTTATTTTAATTATTATTGTCAGATTTTTATCAGATTTTAGATTATGTCTTAATCAGATTATATCTAATCAGATTATATCAGACTTTTGTTATAAATATTGCCAAATCAATAATACTAGCATTATTATTTATTACTAAAACTCGAAATATTATTTCACTAAAACTAGCTTAATAGCTTATGTTATCAGCAATGCCAGTATTATTATTTTTATAAATAATATCATTCTAGTATTGGCATTATTATTTTTCACTGAAACTAACATTATTATTTATCACTGATACTAGCACCATTATTTTGGTATCATAATTTTTTAAATATCGTTAATGCTAGTATTATTATTTTTACGAATAATGTCATATCACTAATATTAGAATCATTATTATTTATCACTAAGACAAGCATTATTATTTTTTTCCCTAATACAGCACTATTATTCTTTTATGTATCACTTATACCTGCACTAGATTATAATTCCTATCACTAATACTAGCACAATAATTTATCACATATGCTAGTATTATCACTAATACTTCCATTATGATTTATTGTAACACTAATGCTAATATTATAATTTCTGTCACTAATACTAGCATTATAAGTTATCACTAACACTGTTATTTTGTGTGAATAATATTAACAAAATTATTTATATCAATGCTAATACTGAATATATATATATATTATTCTTATTTATATTATCACTACCGTAATACGTATTTTATCAATAATGATATTTTTCTTATTTTTTGGGCACGTCATTAGATTTAATTTAAAGGTTGCAAGCTAGAATGGCATATTTGTGTAGAGTTATCTGAAGCAATACGAAGATTCAATATTTGGATTGCTGGAAGTAAACATAGCACCTCATGTTTGGCATCTGGTAGTAAACATAGCACCTCATATCTGGCAGCTGGTAGTAAACATCGCACCTCATGTTTGGCATCTGGTAGTAAACATAGCACCTCATATCTGGCAGCTGGTAGTAAACATCGCACCTCATGTTTGGCATCTGGTAGTAAACATAGCACCTCATGTTTGGCATCTGGTAGTAAACATCGCACCTCATGTTTGGCATCTGGTAGTAAACATCGCACCTCATGTTTGGCATCTGGTAGTAAACATCGCACCTCATGTTTGGCATCTGGTAGTAAACATCGCACCTCATATTTGGCAGCTGGTAGTAAACATCGCACCTCATATCTGGCAGCTGGTAGTAAACATCGCACCTCATATTTGGCAGCTGGTAGTAAACATCGCACCTCATATCTGGCAGCTGGTAGTAAACATCGTACCTCATATTTGGCAGCTGGTAGTAAACATCGCACCTCATATTTGGCAGCTGGTAGTAAACATCGCACCTCATATCTGGCAGCTGGTAGTAAACATCGCACCTCATATCTGGCAGCTGGTAGTAAACATCGTACCTCATATTTGGCAGCTGGTAGTAAACATCGCACCTCATATTTGGCAGCTGGTAGTAAACATCGCACCTCATATCTGGCAGCTGGTAGTAAACATCGCACCTCATATCTGGCAGCTGGTAGTAAACATCGCACCTCATATTTGGCAGCTGGTAGTAAACATCGCACCTCATATCTGGCAGCTGGTAGTAAACATCGCACCTCATATCTGGCAGCTGGTAGTAAACATCGCACCTCATATTTGCTATCTGGTAGTAAACATCGCACCTCATATTTGCTATCTGGTAGTAAACATCGCACCTCATATTTGCTATCTGGTAGTAAACATCGCACCTCATATTTGCTATCTGGTAGTAAACATCGCACCTCATGATTGGTGTTTTGTGCGTGAGGGAGGCACGTGTAAAGAAACTACATGGGGAGGAGAGACGGCTGTTTGGAGGTTGTGAACTTTTGTTGAATCAATATTACTATTTGCACTATCACTACTACTAGCATTTTAATATACGATATCAGTAATACTAGTATTGATATTTATGTTATTATTATTATTATTATTATTATTATTATTATTATTATTATTCATTGATATTAGCGTGCAAACTACGAACTTTAAAAAGTGACATGAAAAATATAAATAAAATAAATGTGGGACTAAACATTTTTATTATAAAAGTAATAATACAGTATAACAATTGCAAAGGTAATTTTACTATAATAATAATAATAATAATAATAATAATAATAATAATAATAATAAATAATAATAATAATAATAATAATAAAATGATAATAATAATAATAATAATAATAATAATAATAATAATAATAATAATAATATAATAATAATAATAATAATAATAATATAATAATAAAATAATAATAATAATAATAATATTAATTATAATAGAATAATAATAATAAATACAGTAGAAGAAGAAGGGAAAGATGAAAAAGAAGAAAACAGTAAAAGCAATACCCGGTAATAATAATAATAATAATTACATCAATAACAACAATACAAACAATACAAAAAGTAATAATAATATTAATGAAGTACAGAACAAGTGTTTTTCTAGCTTGCAACAATCAAAATGTATCTAATAAGCCCATCATGAAAAAAAAATTATGAAATACAGTGAGACCACTACAGTATTAAGAATGTAATTATAATAGCAACTGCAACAGTAATAGCAACATTCATAACTGCATCAACATTGTAATATTAGTTGCAATATTTTCAGTAAAAATTACAATAACATCACTTTAAGAATGAGAAGGAAAAATTTCAATAATTTTTTATTCTATTGTTAAAATTAATGTAAACAGAAACAACAATAACAATAAGAAGAACAAGAAAAAGAAAGAGAAAAGAAGAGGATGGATAATAAAACAAAAAGTTATAATAATAATAATATTTACCACAATATTATTAATATTAATTATTACATATAATTCAACACATTTCAACTTCACCCATATTGATACAGTTAACTATAAACAAAATATAATTCATGTAGTAGCATCCAATAACCAAAGCAACTAAGGCAATTAATGTGAACTTAAATGTTTTTTTATTCGAGTAATAAGAATTACAATAATTTTGATTATAATAATGAATTATTGAAATATAAACCGTTAATGTGGCTAGGTGTTACCAATGTTACATAACCAACAGGAGATAATTCATAATTCCATAGATACAGGAGCAGGTTACAATTTGATGTATTACCAAGTGACAATGTAATAGCTTATTAATACGAAGAATCGAAACTTAGACACATAGATTCATATATAAATAAATAAATAAATAATATATATATATATATATATATATATATATATGTCGTACCTAATAGCCAGAACGCACTTCTCAGCCTACTATGCAAGGCCCGATTTGCCTAATAAGCCAAGTTTTCATGAATTAATGTTTTTTCGTGTACCTAACCTACCTAACCTAACCTAACCTAGCTTTTTTTGGCTACCTAACCTAACCTTACCTATAAATATAGGTTAGGTTAGGTTAGGTAGGGTTGGTTAGGTTCGGTCATATATCTACGTTAATTTTAACTACAATAAAAAAAATTGACCTCATACATAGAGAAAAGGGCAGCTTTATCATTTCATAAGAAAAAAATTATAGTAAATATATTAATTCAGGAAAACTTGGCTTATTAGGCAAATCGGGCCTTGAATAGTAGGCTGAGAAGTGAGTTCTGGCTACTAGGTACGACATATATATATATATATATATATATATATATATATATATATATATATGTCGTACCTAATAGCCAGAATGCACTACTCAGCCTACTATGCAAGACCCAATTTACCTAATAGGCAGAGTGAATTTCTCTATTTAAAAAAAATCCAATTGGTTTATTTGAAATAATATTATTACATTATAATAAGAATATAAATTATTAACTTAGTTAGAGTTGTTTCAGTTAGGTTAAGATAGGTTAGGTTAGGTTAGGTAGGTTAAGTTAGGTTTGGTCATATTTCTACGTTAGTTTTAACTCAAATTAGAAAAAAAGAAATAATATACAGTGTAATGTAATGGAAAACTTTATCATTTCACAAGAAAAACTTTTAGAAAAATATATAACTTCATGAAAACTCGGCTAATTAGGCAAATCGACCTCTGCATAGTAGGCCAAGTAGTGCGTTCTGGCTGTTAGGTACAACATATACATATATATATATATATATTCTTTTATTTTGTTTTTTCAAACACGCACCGGATCCGGGGAATCCCCGGGCCCACGCACTACTGCCTGAACCATGACGGACTCAAAGGTACATCAACCAGAAGTACAACCAGACTTACTTCTGGTTGAGAAACTTTTTAGCTGATCATGGTTCAGTCGGCAGTGCGTGTGTCTAGGACGTGCAGGGATGTGAATTCGATCCCACCATATTGCCTCAACATTTCCTCATAGATACACCAAACTTTTTATGACTTTTATGAGACCAAAATTGGAATAGGGAACAGTTGTATGGTGGCCATATCTCAAGAAGCACATCAATAAACTGGAACCGGTGCAAAGACATGATACAAACTGGCTTCCTAAACTGAAAAACGAGACACGAGGAGAGGCTAGAGGCGACAACGCCAGAAGATAGAAGAAAAAAAGGTGATATGATCACCACTTATAAAATAAAAACATGATTCACCAAATTGATAAAGAGGAATTCATGAAATCAGCAACTTCAAGCAGATGAGGACACAGATTCAAGCTAAGGAAACAAAGGTGCGGAACAAATATTAGAAAGTTTTCTTTACCAAACAGAGTGGTAGACGGTTGGAGCAAGTTAGGTGAGAAGGTGGTGGAGGCCAAAACCGTCAGTAATTTCAAAGCGTTATACGACAAAAAGTACTGGGAAGACTGGACACCACGAGCGTTGCTCTTATTCTGTAACTACACTTAGGTAATTATAATTAGGTAATTACACACACACACACACAATAGAACCCTGCCTTTTTCTATAAATTTATTAAAAGAAAGTTGCATGTGAAGGTACTCAACCTCAAAAGAGGTTGAGAATGGGGAACAGATTCATAGAGAATGAAAAGGAAATATGTGAAACTCTAAATGAACAGTTCCAAAGTGTGTTTGTGAAAAATGGGGTTTTCAGAGAACCAGACACAAAACGACTTTCAGAGAACAACATAGAGTACATAAAAGAAATGGAGTGAGAAAAAATGCTAAAGGAGTTAAGATGAAACAAAGCAGTTGCCAAGAGGGAGTTTCACCTTGGGTTATGAAACAATACACACCCGAGCGGAGCAATAATTCCACGCGAATTCATTTTTCCGGCATATTTATGTACAGTAATCTTAGTAGATATATAGAAAAAGGCAAACAATTCCGGTCCACAAATATGATTACAGAAAAAAACTCTCAAAATTATGTGGTAATTTTGTGGTAGCTCAAAAAAGTGTGTTAATCAAAACATTAGGAAAAATAATTAAAACGAAATGAGTAGAATACCTGGAAAGACATTACATAATTCCTAATAACAGACAGACAGTTTGGTTTTCGAACAGAAAGATCCTATATAATAAGTCTGCTTAGTTTTTATAATAGAGCCACGGAGACCTTATTGGCAAGACATGGTTGAAATGTCTCCATTTATCAGGACCTGAAAAAACCTTTTCACAGAATCCAACACAATAAATTGTTCTCGAAGTTGGAACATTCTGGAGGGGGTGACAGGAAGACTTCTGATGTGGATGCAAAACTTTCTGACAGAAAAATGATGGCAACAATCAGAGGCAATGAATCAGATTGGATAAATGTTACTAGTGGAGTATCACAGAGCTCATTTCTAGCACCAGTAATGTTCATCGCTATATATACGACCTACCACAAGGAATACAGAACTATATGTACATGATTGCTGATGATGGTAAGCTATTAGGAAACATACGAGAGTGAGGCGACTGCAGTGCCCTTCCAGATGACCTGGACAAAATAAGTGTATGGAGCAACAGCTGCCAGATGGAATTTAATGCGAATAAATCCCACGTTATGGAATGTGGTATAGGAGAAAATAGACCACACACAACCTACAAATTATGTGGAAAGGCATTAAAGAAGTCTGACAAAGAAAGAGAAGAATGTCACCAGAGGCTCACATAAACGGCATTGAACGAGCATATGATAATGTTGAATTTGCCAAATTTGGAAGATAGAAGAAAAAGAGGCGATGTGATCAATATGTACCAAATAGAAATAGGAATCGACAAAATAAAGAAAATTTCTTGATATCTGCAACTTCAAGAACATGAGGTCGTAGACTCAAGATAAGGAAACAAAGCTGTTGAACAAACATTAGAACGTTCACTTTTGCAAACAGTTATAGGCGGTTCGAACAAGTTAAGTGCGAAGGTGGTGGAGGCCAAAACCGTAATTAGTTTCAAAGCGTCATATGACCAAGAATATTGGGAAGAAGAGACACCACGAGCGTAGTTCTCATCCTGTTACTACACTCAGGTAAGTACTAGAAAAATAATCTTAAAATAAAATCTTACTTTCCAGAGTACCTGGAAAGTAACTGCGTAATAAAGGTCGGACAGTTTGTTTTTCGAAGGAAAATGTCTTGTGTAATAAATCTACTTAGTTTCTACGATAGAGCCACAGAAATATTGCAAGAATGGGAAGACGGAGCCGATTGCATATACCTAGACTTAACAAATTCTTTGACAGAGTTCCCCACAAGAAACTCTTCTCAAGGTTAAAACCATTGGAGGAGTGACAGGCGGACTTCTAAATTTGATGATAATTTTTTTACTTTTTTTTTTTTTTTTTTTAACTAGAGCTGCAAGAACAAGAAGTCATAGATTCAGATAAAGGAAACAAGATG